TCTCATTTTATTTTGAAGCTTAATATACCTGGTCAGACCTTTTTCGAGTAGGTAGTTTTACATTATGTCGCGATTTACAATGGAGGAGTTTAGGAAGTTAATAATAAAACTCGAAAGTCCTGCCTCGAATCAGTGTAGTGATTCTTTGAATTTTCCTCGTAAATAACCCATGCATTCTGAAAAGTGAACAAGTTCTCTCAAAACTTTTCTCAATAAGGTACAATTTTAAATCCAATACTTCTCTACAAAGAAGAAAAATATACATATATATAAATGTAAATATAACTTCAGGCCAATATGTAAGATAACATGTTTTGTATAAATTCAAATTTTACCTCTTTTTGGCTCATCCTTTTTCGCTTGATTTTTATCTGTCTTATATAAATTCAAAATCTTTTTAAAATAAATTTCTTATAAATTTTATAACAAAAACTACAATTTTAAATTGCGCGCTTTAACCTTAACCAATAAAGAATCGGGGTTCATTTTTTTCGATAAGTCAATAAATTTCGACACTTGAATTCAATCATGAATTTGATATTTTAGGATAAATATTATAATCTCAAATTAAGTGAGTTTAATATTAGTTAATAATTTTGACTCGGAAAGTTTTAATTTTGAATTATAACTCATTAATTAAGCCATTAATACATTATTTAAATTAAAAATTTTTCAAAAATCAAACTCTAATTACAATCCCCACCTATACCATTATTTGATTCAATCCTCAAAACAATAAACCATTGTAATAACTCACTGTAAATCTTTATTATATTCAGCCAGCACACCTCGCACTGAACAATAATTTCAATTCCACTTCCATATCATTTTATATATACCACCCACCTCTGATTTAGAACATTCGCTGAAAAAATTTATGGCTTTTGAGCGCATTTTTTTTTATCGCCCTCGAAAGTGTTACATAAAAAATTTAGAGCTTCCATATGTGACATTAATTTTTATTTTTCGTTATACTTTTTCACGTTTATGTTTTCATTATACATGTATATTCATATATTCGTTAACATTTCCAATAATATCGTTAGAAATTAAAGCCCTTCATCGCTAGTCGAGGATTTTTTCGACAGCCCCTACTCGTCAAACATTGTTGTAAAAATTTCAAGAGTTGAAAAAAATTGAAAAGAGAATTAAATGTCTGGTTTTCCGCAAAACCAATCCATAGTTTATTGTAGTAGTTTGTGAATTTTATAATAATTATACTAATTTGTTTAAAAAATTTATGATTATTATTACTCTGTGAAAAATCGAGAGTGAATTCAGAGCGAATTTTTATTTCAATTACTAAGAGTACCAGAGTAAAGAAATATAACACTCCATTTTCGGAGTTCTTAGACTGAAATAAAATTTAGCTAAAATAAGTTTCATATGCTAAATTACTAAACTAATAAAATACTTTAAAAAAATGTATCTCAAATTTGTTTTTGTAAAATATTATTTTTATTTTTCCATAAAAATCAACTTTTTAGAAACATTGAACCACATTTTCACAAAGATTATTTTCTATTTAAGTCTTTCTGATAAATCCTTATATGAAAAGTAGAAAAACGTTTAGTTAAATAAAATTAGTTACTGTAAAGTTACTGAAATTAACTTTAATACGGCAGTTTTTATGATTTATTAAAAAATAAATTATAGAGAGAATTTATAAAAAAAAATGCTACTTGTAGAAATCACAAAAAATATTAATGCACTTTTTTTTAAATATTAAAATTTATTTGTAATCATAAACTAAGGTAAAAAATTATGTTCATTTTTCAAATCTCTAACTACGCATTTTTTAATTTTTACGACTATTTTTTCTTTTTTGACATTTTTTTTTTATTGACAATATATGTAAAATCCTCGAATTAAATTTCACTCTGAAGAAAATTGAATCAACTGAAAATTATCTACTCCGCATTGTCTCCGATAATTATTATTATTTTATTGCAAATATTAGGATTAGAAGTGAAAAATTAACAAGCAAAAAATCAGATATTACATTACCAAAAATTGGAAATTTAAATAGTGATGTTTTTGTACGGTGTTATTGCTATTTTGCTATTTACTTTCAGTCTCATCTTCTATATTTCTCTCTATATGTTCATAGTAACGTGCTCTACTGTGTTATATATATATCCGTAGATATATACATATATATGTAGATATAGAACATACATATGTACAATCCAAATGTATAGAAGTGCCGAGGTAGCAACCCCTTTGATAGTAGTAGGGGCAGTTATCGATTCTCCCTGCGACCGCTTCCCTCGTCGCGGTTGGGCTTACTGGACTTCCGGATAAAGGTCTCGTTGAAGAAGGATTTTTATTTTCAATGTGTGACTGCAAACGACAGAAAACCCAACCAACAAACAACTGAAAAATAATAAACCTGCAAGTTAAAAAGAAGAAGAAGGGCGTCGGTTTTCCCGTTACATATAGAGTTATATTTAATTTTTTTTTTTTACTTTTTCTCGGAGTTGAGTTTTTGTTCCTTTTTAATTACTAGTTGGGATTGGATTTGGACAAAACATGTGAATGACATAGTAACTCATTTATTAACTTTGAAATAAGAATCGACTATCGTATAGTGTAGAAGGTGTAGCATATATGTGTGTGTACATACAGTGTACCGACGGCTCCAAAGGGAAAGGGGAAGTCTATAAAGAATGAGAACAAGAGAAACCACGAGATAATGAGGTTACCAGTTTACTCACTTGTTATCGATCCAGCTGTCTCGTATTTAATTTACAACAAAATTCACTTTTTAACCCATTAATGCTCAACATTTATGAATAACCAAACTCGTTCATTTTTATTTCTTTTTATTTTTATATTGTATAATATACAGTACTGTTAACGCTAATGTTATACAATTTGAATAGTAAATTTGTTGATCTCTGGTGAGATGTTTCTACCGCTGCGAAAGTTTGAGATTTAAATTTTACATGAAATTTTTTTGATACGAAAAAATAAAAGGAGAAAATAATTCTGAATAGATTTAAAATAATAATAGATTGATTAATAAAAGAATTTATTTCGCGGTAAAAAAGCGTGGATGCTTTATGAAATTGTAGGAAATATTTGTAAAATTAAAATTATGACAATAATATTTCATCAACAATACCTCACATTTTTTCTACAACAAAAATAAATCCGGAAAACGGTTTATCCTGCAGGCCATCCCTGGAACTTCCCACTATGTACGAGTTCAAAACACTCAGTAAATCGTGTATTCCAAAGTTTTGAGCTCAAAAATACAACTCGCATACTTTTTCGAGCTCTTCGTTAGCTTTAAAGTTCAAGCCTATTTAGGTTTAATTCAACCCTTTTATCTGTCAGAGAAGTTCATGTCAGGTTTCAAGTCCAAATAGGTCTAATTAAATCCGCTGAAGCTCAATGTACGTTTTTAAAGTTAAAATTTCGACTTGAGAATTTTTTTAACGCAATGACGATAAATTTTTGACTTTTTACCAGAATGGCATTGAAATTAGTAAATATCTCACAATTTTTAGAATTTTTTTAACACAAATCACTGTAAAAAAATCCAGATGTAGGAATTTTTATAAACTATGAGCGTAAATTTTGAAAAATATTTTTTTAGTGTTAATTCAAAATTCAAAAACAATTGGTCAAATGGTCTGCAGACTTCAAAATCATTCGTATTAGATTAGGAAAATTCTTATTATTTATTTCAATTAAAAAACTTTCCTTTGAAATGAATAAAGTAGAATTTTTGTCCAAAATTTATTATCTAAATCCTTAATCTTTACAAACTCTAAATTAAATTCTAAATTATTAAAAATATTTGTTAAATTATGAAATAAAATAATACTTAAAAAATTTTATGTGTTTCATGACGAGCACTAAAAATAAAAATGAAACTTTAAATATTCATAGTTAAGTAATTGTACATTGTTCAGAGATAAATAACCGCTCGAAAATTTAATGGTTGTTAGTACATACTTTTTTGAAAATTTAGTACATACGTTTTTGAAAATTCTAAATTGCGATATCTTCCGATCGAATCAATCGTTTGTGACGGGGCTTGCAGTATTCAAAGCAGTTTTTCATGCACCAAAAGATTATTTATTACCTACCAAATAATTCAACGTAAAGATTTTGGAGTTATGTTAAAAAAACACTTCTTTGGAATTTTTTAAAATTAAATATCTCGAACGATTTGACCGATTTTGATGCGGCTTACGGCAATCGACGCTGTTTTTTAAGCAAAAAAAGATTATTTTTTATTTGCGAAGTAATCCAGACAGAAATTTCAAAGTTATTTAAAAAAAAAAAAAAAACACTTTTTTCTAAATTTTTCGACGATTTCTATTGAACGAATGAACCTTTGATTAGGTGTGCGGCAATTGATGTTGTTTTTTGAGGTTAAGAGCTGGTTAGTTTTTGGAATCAATCGATACACAAGTTAAAAAGTTATTTAAAAAATAAACATCTTTTTGAAAAGTTTATTTTTGAGATTTCTCAAAAGATACCGAGCCCAATTGATTCAAACTCACATAAAATAAAATAGCAATAATAATTTTTCGATTGCTGTTTCGATTGGTCAAGTCGTTTAAAAGTCTAACACACACACACACTATTTTTATATGAAATTTTATTTTCTAAAAAAAAATTCTGATACGGAGATCAGCAAACACCTGAAAATTGTTAGGTTGCATATAGGAAAATAAAAATAAATTAGTGCTAAGAAAATATTTTAAGCAAATATCGTAGTTTTTTTTTTTTTAATTTCCACATTTCTAATTATCTAAAAATTGTCTTTATAATAATTGATTGGTTAAAGAAATTCCTAAAAATCATCGGATGTCTCATAAAAAATTTTAATCTTTTATGCTTTTAAACAAAATACAAACTAAAAAATTTTATTATATAACTTTATAACTTAGATTAGCTTATGATAAATTTATTTTTTTGTTAATATTAAAAATTTTGCTTGATACATTACTTGATTAAATTAATTTGTTTGAATTGCAGAGACTTCACCAGCGGACGTCGCGGATGGAAGAGGTACTTGCGTCGAGGCGAGCCCGATCGGTCGTTTTTCGTTGCCGACGGCGAGCAAGATAATGGTCGCCTCGACGCACAATCATGGTGAATTAGCTCTAAATCAACAACAGCAGCTTCACTACCAAGATAAACATCACAGTTACTACACCATAAACAGTAACTATAGTAACAATATTAGTAATAGTAATAACAATTCTTATTCAAACCAAAACCATCATCAGACTACTGTGTGTCGAAGTCAATCAGCCCAGGACAAGCGCAGCCGGCTGTCTAACGTGATAAACAATTTGAAGAGGAAAGTACCTGAATCAGCAGCCACCGGTGACTCAAAGAGCAAAACTCCTAAAGACAGTGAAGACCGCGACAGCGTCGAGAGAAATCTCGAGACCCTAGAAAAATACGTTATGACTGTATTAAATGGAGTCATCAAGGACGCGGAAACGGAGGGTCAACCTGGCAGCGGCGGAATAAACCGAGTGATTGACACCGAAGACTCCGCGAGGTTTAAAGCCCCTGTTGACACTCATAAAGACCAGCCGAGAGAAAGAATAAGTGCTGATGAAGGCGGCCAAAGTGTTGTCGAGCCTGCCGTCCCAGATGTTGATCAGCAAGACAAAAATGATTTGTCTTTATCCGGGACAAAAGAGGCGCAGAAAACTCCGACGGAGCAAAAAGAAGTTGATACGATCTCGATAAACAGCGAAGGCAATGAAGTATCTGCTAAAGCCAAAGATTTAATAGTATCGCCTTTGCCGTCTTCTTCCTCGTTGAATTTTAGTGCAGATGTTGCTGTTACTAAAACTAAGACTAAGACTAAGACCCTGGATGTCATTGACCAGGGCTCAGATAGGCCAGAAACGAACGAGCAGCTAACAGGTGGTAAATTTTGCAGCAAATCAAACTTAGCACCTAGCGAGGACATCGGGACAGTGTGTCGCGATTTGCTGAATGATTTGCTGAGTGACATAGTTCAGAATGATTCTCCTGATAATCCTGCGAAATCCGTAGGGTTGTTTGGTCTTCACTGCAGTTTGCCGCTGGAAAAAGTAGCGCCTGTTTTAAAACTATGCGAGTCTGAATACACAGCTTCATTGCAACTATCTCCAAAGTTTTCTTCTTCTTCTTCATCTTTATCATCATCTTTTTCTTCTTCAACTTCAACGCCAAAACTAACGCCGTCGTCATCTCCAACGTCATCAATTTCAAAGTCCAACTCCCCCGACGTTAAATCGCCGCCAGTGAAACATTTGTGCCTCTACTGCAACCGTACATTTTCATCAATTTCGCTTCAACAACGTCACACAGAGCGATTTCATCAGCTTAAAGGGGAAAGACGCAGCGAGAGAAGTACTCGCAAGAGCGGTTCAAACTGCCTATACTGCACCGAAAAACCTTTTAGTGTTCCTGGTGCAGATACCTTGACGGAATTGTTCGTCCACATGGTTTTTCGCCATCCAAACAAGTATCATGCTTGTCACTATTGCTGCACCAGATATCTGAACCCCGAAGCTTTGAAAATTCACTTTTTTAATGTTCACAAGACTTCTAAAATAAGTAATACTGAAATACACGAAGAGGAATTGGATGACGAATTTTTTGAGATTATTCGTGTTATCATTGATAAATTACAGGGCAATTCGCCTTCTCTATCACAACTTCAACTCCTATTTCAACTTAAACCTCAACATCGACTTCAACCTCAATCTCAACCTCAACCTCAACCTAAACCTCAACCTCAACCTACTACTTCCCAATCTCAGTCTCCATTACAGCATCACCAAACGTTCCATGAACCCGTCAGTCAAATCCAGTGTCCCATCGATATTTCTTTAACTGCAGCCACGCCTGTCGATAGTAAAGAGTGCCCAGCAACCGACAAGTCTGAAAATTCTAGCAAGTATGCACAGAAACCCTGTAAAACTAGTTGGTTACACCCACGACGGGTATCTTTTGAAAAGTACAATTTCCCTCGGAAGTACGACGGAAAGGAACAGTGGAGTTATTCGATAAAGGACCTGAGCAAGTTCGACATATACACCCAGCTGACCTTAAGGAAGAAGCAGCAGATAATTGAGGAAAAAAGTTTGCAGAATAGATTGTCTAATAGTTCTTCTCTAGATAGGCAGACTGATTTGAAGGAGAAGCCGATGATTGAGTCCACCGATCTGGATAAGGCGACACGCTTCGCTGAAGATAAACCAGTATCAGTATCTGATGCATCAACTATTGATAGCATCCCTATTGATACTAGTCCGGATACTGGATCAGTTACTGGAAGCGATTTGCATTCGGTTGCTAACAATACGGATAATAAAAAATCAAATTCAGATGCTACTGAGTTTTCTCATGAGTTCAGTAGTTTTATGAGATTGAAGCGGTGGGACAAGTGTCCAGCTCCAGAGCCGGCCAAGAAAGATGAAATAGTGTATGCAGAGCTCACGGGTGAATGGTCAAAACCAAGGGTTTATGTATGCGGGGCTTGCTTTTCAAGATACTTGACTTTAAAGGAGATAGAAGAGCACAAAATCCTCGCCCATCCTCATGTCTGGTGCTCCCACTTCGAGTTTTCTGGGGACCAGCGCGAGCTTTACAAGCATTTGTTCTTACCTGGGCACAATCTTTCTAATTTGTCGATTACTTCTTTGAAAGCCAAAGGAGCCGAGGAAAAAGTTTGCACCAAGTGCTCGAAACTCTGCTCAACTATTGCGGAGCTTCATAGACATATGCTGGAGTGCGGAGGGGACCAATCCTGGTTGTCAGGGCTTTTTGGAAACGGAAGGAAAAAAGGCAAGTGGCGGCCCTTCGGAAGTAGAAGCCGGAGGCGAAGGCAACGGGGGATGAAGAGAAATATACAGAATTCCCAGACGACGAGGGTCAATCAGCCCAGGGAGAAACAGCCCAGCGGACCGCGAGTTCGTCCGAGTGATCGTAAGCTGGTTTATTATCTTGTTTAGGTTTTATTTTTTTTTTAAGTTTGTTTTTTAATTGGGTGTTTAAGGATCACTTGGGTTTATTTAGTTCTTTATTTTAGTTCCCAGTGAAAGAAGAAACGGTGAAAAATTAAAACGCTTTGGAGTTTATAATTTGTGAAAAATAGCACGGTGTATTTAAATCACAAGTTGATATCATATTTCTCTGAGTGAAACTCGACAACTTTTTAAAAGTACCTCGAGCGCTTTTATAGAAATAAAACGAAATATATTTAAATAAAATAACTTAATTTTTTTATGTCAAATTTTTGGATTATGGATATATTTTTTTTAATCTTGAGATTATTTTATTTTGCCTGAAGGGTGTTATAACTTTTGAGTTTTGAAAATTTTTTAGTTTTTAGAACGGAATAAAATGATGAAATATAAGTTTGTCAAACATATTATTACAAAAGTAAACTAAAAACTTTTTAATAAATTTTTCCTCTTTAATTTTTCGCTGAGGTATAAATTATTGCAAAAAAAGTACTTTTCATTTTTTTCTAACCGATAACTTACTGATATTAAAAAAATTGAAAAACTTCAAATCACCGTGCCTAGAAGCCATTTTTTTATTAGAATTTTTTTATTTAAATTCCTCTTAAAAAAAAATTGTGTTATGTGCAATTTTTGATCCTTTCACCCATGAGTGGTTTATATCGATACGCAAGCATGCAGAACGATAAATTTTTAAAAACTTGACAGCTGTCATGTATCGGAACTTTTAAATTAATAAATTTTTCATGTTCATGATCCAACGCAGATAAATCGTGCATCCAATCTAATTCAAAAATCAGTTTATTCATTTGAAAAATTACTGTTTAAAATATAAAATAACATATAAAAATATTAAAGAAAGAAAAATAGAAAGTAATTTTACAAATAATGAATTAATATTAATCATTAATATTGATATTGACACATTTTTCGCAGATGAGAGTATCCAGAAAATGTTGGCAAATTTGCCACCCAAGCGATCAACCCGCAGAGACGTACAGGAAACAGTCGAAGGACCACGAAAAGTAAGATTAAATAACACATCGGGGTTGCATTTGATGATTAATTGAGGTCCATTGCGCAAAAAGACTAAATGAAATAAAAATTGATAGGATAACAGCCTTGCGCAACGCGCGAGTAAATATAAGTCGAGTATTGATCAGAACAGCCCCGTTTAAACGTGCTTACGTACATATGTAGACATATCCTGACTTGAGTGTTTAGTAGGGCAAATAATCCTAGGGTTTTTTTATTCCAAATTGTCACCTTTTATGATGTACATTATTACTTTATTATTAAATTATATTAACTTCGGTCTAATTGCATTATTATTCAGATCTTCTCTTCTTCATTACTTCTCGTCTAATACCGAACAGCTATTGAACTTTTTTGTCATACCTTATTAGAAGACTAGGAATTAAAATTTAAAAAAAAAATATTTCAAGTCTTTCTATAAATATAGATTTTTTTAAATGTATTAAAACTACTTATTTACTATTCGAGGGGTAAGGTGCAATCTGAGGCATAATAAAATGAAGATTTTTAATCAATTTATATTTGACACTAATGAAATTTATTTTACACAATTAATAATACCGAGTTATTATATAATATTTTAATTTGACTGAACAAAAATTTCCCGGTGAACGCTGTAACTTTTTATTAGTTTACTCAAAACCAATCAAACAAGAAAAAACCATTTGTTTAATTGTTAATCTAGTACTTGATCGAGGCTTTTTTGTTTACTTTAAAAATTAAGAAAATGACAGCATCTAACAATTTACTTGCCAATTTTGTAGAAAAAAAAAAACTATAGTTTAACTTTAAAAAAATATTAAAATTAAAAAATATATTATTCAATTAAGTACTATGTTTTCATACTTACAATAAACTGTGAAAATTTTATTCAATTCCGTCAAGTTTTAGTCTAGGCGCAATATTACCTATTTGTACAATTGTAAAAAATTTATTACTCAAAAATTATGAATTTTAATTGAATTTCATTACAATAACTTTCATTTTAAAACTGCCCAAATTATTTAAAAAAAAATTAATTCATCCTCAAAAAAATTTTTTTCAAAGAATTGAAAGCCCGGGTTTTGAAACTTTCTACTACAATATACTACAAGAAAATGCAAAAAGAAACAAAAATCAATTTTTTTTTCTAATTTTGACTGCACAATCCTTTAATATTCTGTCAATTTTATTGACTTTCATAATTTTTAGAATCAAATTAAAACTATACAAAATATTAATTTCTGAAAAGCATATCTTTGTTGATAATTATTAATTTATAATTCGTCTGATTACAGGTACAGACAAGATCGAAGCTCTCAGCTGAATCATCACGTCTATCGAGCAAGACAATGTTGCGAAACAAACTGCTGAAGAACGCAAAATTATTTCAACGTAAGCGTTGTCGCGGTGATAATATTACCGCGGCGATAGAGAGTGTTATAAGTAATTACAAGCCGACAGATGCTGTAACCAATCACCCTGATAGTAATAGTGATAATCATAACAAAAAGTATGATAATGACGGCGTGAATGGTAGCAGCAGGTCCAGCGTTACCGGATCTAAAGAATTAAAAGATACGGAAAAGTTGGAAAGTTCAACAGAGTATCGTCGTACATCCGTGGCTGGTAAAGTCGACAAGAATTCCAAATTAAATAATCGATCGACCCAACGAGTAAGAGTCGTCAGCAAAAAGAATAACGTTAAAATGAATTCAAGGCGTACAAATTCGAGTAGTATTAAATCAACCGCCGCCTCGTCAAATATTAACAAGCATCAGCAGCAAATACAGACGGCTAATCAAACAAACAAGATTAAAGGTACATTAAAAAGATCCAATGTTAAAACTACTGGCAACTCTTTGTTGACTCTTAAAAATAGCAACATCAAATTACGCAAGCGAAAAACTGAAACCGCTGAAAATTCAACTCCGTCATCCGCATCGACTAAAGCCAAATCCCAGGTACGAAACCCAGATGGTAAATTTACTCGTACCTCTCCGCAAGGTGCATCATCTCGAGGATCCTTTAGTGCAGAAGTTATTTCGGAAAGTGCCGATCGGGTGAAGCCCAATGACTCCAGTTCATCTCTTGTTACTCGATCACGAGTAAAAACTATTGCCGATAACAGTAACAAACAACAGGGAGCTTATACTGGCAATGAAGAGTTGGGAAAAAGAGTTACAAGATTGTCTTCCGACGACAAAATGCCTACGCTGGAAGCCGACGGGCTGACGACTGTCGCCGCTACAGAAGTTCCTGAAAAATCGACTGATCTTCCAATTTTATCTCCGATAATTGAGTCGACTGGTCAACGCAATCCACGTGCTAAAAAGCTCGGCTTTAAGTCGAAAAATAGTAAAAGTGGATTGCGGGGTAAAGTTAAGGCTAATGCTAATGGTAACGTTAAGTCGAGGGGGAGGCAAAAACGAGTGGTCGTCGAAAAATTGAATAAAAGTGTAGATAGTAGTGAAAACAGTAGTCTCAGTAGTAATAATGATAATGATAATAATATCAGTAATAATGATAATGTCAATGTTAATGATAGTAATAGTAATAATAGTAACAGTAATGATAATAGTAGTGATAAAGTTGAATTGGTAGGAGAAGAAAAAGAGGAGGTGAGTTTGAAACAAGGTCGGGATCGTCGAGTGAGAAAAGGGAAGTCTCTTTCACCGAGAGTTTCTTCAGATGTTATTAAGGACAAAGATGATGCGCTTATAAAGAAACCGGGTGGTAGTTCTTTGGAAGAAACCAAGTTAACTGAAGACAACTCGGCTGACGTTAAGAAGAACTCAAAGGTTCCCGATAAAAAAACTAATGTAAACAGAGTTGAGTCGCGTAAAACGCGACAGGAACGTCGGGCGGGTTCATTAGAAGAGCTTTCTAATTTGCAAGAAGTTCCGCTGGAAGTTAAAAAACTTCTTGGTCCAACAGACGATCTTTTTAGTCAGATTGGTATCGCTTCGCAGCCGGTTAAAGTTTTGACAGGTCGCGGTCGTGGTCGTGGTCGCGGTCGCGGTCGCCGTCGCCGTGGCCTTCATCGTTTTAACGTGACTCAGATTAGCAGCCGAGTAATAACTCGTCAGAATAAAAATGAGGAGAGTGGCAAAAATTGTGAGGAGCTAGTAGATTTACCGAGCGAAGATTTAACTGATAACAAGAGTGCAACTAAAAAAGTTACGCTGAGTGAAAAGAAGAGTTGCGGTCAAGTAGATAACAATAGGATAAATTCTTCAGAAGATACAAATGATAAAGTAGACGTTGATGATAATAATGATGATAATGATAAGCCGGCATATACGATTGCGGTTACGATTACTAATAATGAGAACAACTTACCAAAAATAGAATCGGCAATCGGAAGAAGCTTAAGACCAAGAAAATCGTCAATTGAGGTAGAGTTAAGTTCAATTAAAGCATTTGAGTCAACCGCAGTCGGTTCACCGACGACAATAGTCCCGGAGAAGAGAGTTAATAATAGCGACAAGGAGCCAGACAATGAAGATGAAGTAGGAGTAGCGGAACAACACGAAGGAGAACGAGAAAAAGATGAAAAATTTGCAGAGGAGGTTGGTAGTACTGCTGATGATAGTAAGAACGAGGATGACTATGATGAAGACTACGAAGACAATGAGCCTGAGGAGATGAAGAAACTTGTGACGGCTGATTTAGTGAGTCTAAGTTTCGAGCACCTTCAGCAAGAGTCGAGCAACTCCAACATTGACAGTGGGAAAGAAAATTCCTCGGAGACGGCTGTCAACGTTTCAAAGCCAAGAGTATCAAGGCCTAAAAAATCACGGGGCTTAAAACGTGATCGCATTGTCAAACGCACGTTAAATAATGTGATTGGAATTCTCACTGAAGGCGTTAATATTCCAGTTGAAGTTCAGCAGAGTGTTGTACTTACTGTCCAAACCTCCGTTGATAATAATATTAATTTGAATAATAGTACCGGTAATAACAATAATAACAGTGCTAATACCATTGGAAATAACAATTCAAACCCTGCCGCTAGTAGTAGTTCTAATAGCAGCAATAGTGCGCTGACTATTCAAAATAATCGAACAGAATTAGGTGATGATAATAATAATCCTCCAGATAATGCCAATGGCGTAGTGTCTAATAGCACTGCTAATGAAAGTATCATCGATGAAGCTCGTGATATGATTGAATGTTCAGCTAATGATGGCAAGGATGAAACAGCGAGCCAAGAAATCCAACGGCACATTAGTAGCTCTGATAACAATACGGTTTTGAAAGCCGAAAATGTAATTCCAAAATCCAGTACAGCGACAGTATCGACCACTGTTAATGTTGAGCCGACGAATGATATCATTTTGGATCTATCAAGACGCAAGCCCAAGGGTAAGGGTTCTTTTTTAGAGAAAATAGTTTCCAAGATAGCGAAGAAAAAAGACGCATTGCTCGAGGGTGAAGTTGGTTCATTGCTCGATCATGCGGCTGATGAGCTTAGTATTATTTTAGATGAAGTTGGCCCTACTTTTGAGGCTAATGATCCGAAAACTAGTGCTACAACTTCAACTACAAATACAAATTCAACTAATACCACAACTATGGCTACTAGTTTAACCCCGGAAAGTACTTCAGGCACGAGTACGTCAGTTAAATTGGAAGTTGAAAAAAGTGATAAAGAGGGAGAAGAAAAATGCTTACGTGTTACATCTGAGGGTGATAAAAGTTTAATTGATACGGCAGCTGGTAATGAACAAGTTAAATTTATGGAAAAGGAGCCGAAGAATAAGAAGCAAGAAGAAGAAGAGTCACCGGTGATACTGGAGGTAGGGAAGCAGAAGACGGAAGATAGTTTAATTATTCGTGAAACTTTACCTCAAGAATCTCTGAATGGCACTGTTTTAGAATCAATTACGAGTAATGATACACTGGGTAGCGATACTTTAAAGTCAGATCAGGTGGTAATTGGTAATTCCAAACGTAATAAGAAAAAGCGCTCACTGGAGATTGCTGAAACTAAAAACAAACGCAAATCGGTGGAAGAAGATGAAATTGAGTGCAACCGTATCGAAGAAGATTTGTGCTTGGCAGATATTATGAAGTTAATAAATAATGCTAAGCGTGAATCTTCTTGTGAGGTCCCCAATGAAATTGATGAAGAAATACGCCCTGGTAAGAGAAAAAGTATCGATTATAAAATAAAGGGTAACGATAATGATGAACGGCAGGGAAAAGTTTTGAGTAAGGGAGATGAAAGTTCGGAAAAAAGTGAGCTTATTAATGCTAACAAAAAGACTAAGCTCTGTGATGAAGAGAAGGATGCCAAAATAATGGGTGATGGTGAGAATATTAAAGCGGGTTGTGATATAAATAATTTACAAGTTCAACAGCTAGAGAAGGTAGAGGATAAAATTATTATTGACAGTCCTAAAGTTTGTGATTCAACGGTAAAGTCAAGTCCCAAACGTAAAACTAAGTCCAAAGATTTTATTAGCGATAATAAATTTAATTGTGAACAAGTTGCATTTAAAGACTCTGTACATAAATTAAGTGACACGTCGATTACTGAAACTACTTGTACTTCTACTTCCTCTTATACTTCTACTTCTAATTCTATTTCCAATTCTTCCTCGGCTTCTATATCTACCGATATAAATAATTCAAATAAAGTTGAAAGTTCAACCGATATTTCATCAAGAATTGATGAGACTATCTTATACGTTAGCAAAGCGGAAGATATTAAAATAGATGAGACCCCAGTAGCCGTTAAATCGAAAAAAAAACGTGGCAGAAAAAAGTTATTAACGAAAGAACACTTGCAGTTACCCGAAGATCAATCTACTGAAGATATTAATACCTCTGTTTTTAAGCAACCAAACCAAGCAGAATCTTCAGTTTCAGAAGAGTCGTTTAAAATTCCTGAAGAAATTTCGCAAGCCAAAACTCGCTCAAAGAAGAAATTACTTAATGAGTCGTCAGAAGATAAAACAGTCACTCCAAATTCGCGTAAAAAGTCCAAAGAACGCCGTGAAGAGTCTGGATCTGACTCAGGAAATCAGGAAAAATTGACTCCCGAACCGCGACCACGGGGCCGAAGACCCAGAAGGAAACCCAGCGATGCCGATGTGACGTTCCAAATTACCCCGGCAAAAGATTCTAAACCGAATGATGAGCCAGAGAATGCAAATGATACTCTTATTGAACGACGCAAGACTCTGAAAAGAAAAGCGAAGGAAAATGTATTCTTGATCGAAGATTTGCTTGATTTTGGTGATGATCTGGACAGTGACTCTGAGTCTGTAGTTAGGATTAAAGATAAAATTCCTGAGAATGAAAGTAATTTGGAGGTCAGTAAGGTGTCGGATAAAGTTGAAGTTGGGGAAGAAAACAATTCAGAAGAAGTTGTTGGTAAGCCTGATGCTAAAATTGTGTCTCAGCCTGAAGACAATCAGATTCCAAAGGCAGAAGTGGAGGCGAATAGCGGTGAAGAAAAGGCGACTGTTGAAAATCAAGTTGAGGATAGTTTGAATCCAAAGAAACGTATCACGGGTAATTTTGCAGTGGTTCATACCAAATCTGGAGAAATTCTTATTGTGGAGAAGAAGAAAAAATTCACAAAAGAAGCTGCTAGATTTTTCTGCGACATTTGTGCAACTAGCTTCACGCGAAAGAGCTCTTTGAAGAAACATAATCTTTCGCAGTCGCATTTGATACAAGTAAGCAAAATTGGAGGCATTGATCAAGACAATAGTGTTAATCAACAGCCAGAGGAATCGATGTCTCATGACGACGCCACAGTCTCCTCTATCGATCGTAGCGAAATACTAGCTGCGAGTTGTGAAGCTCCGGCTTTGATTTCTACTCAAAGTTCGGCTGCGCAGGAAACTAAAGATAAGGATGAAGAGGCGGAAAAAATATGTAATACCGATGGGGTGCAAAAGGGTGATAAACTTGAGGAATCGTTACCCGAAAAATCGATACCTTTGGGTGAAGCTAAAAAGGATTTGGCCGAAAGTAATATTCAAGATACCGGTGAAGTGAATCCTCAATTACAAACGACAGATCCCGAGGACGAGCTGCTGGATGAAGAGATTTCGAAAATAACTGAAAACATGACTCACGATGAGTACGTGCTGACAGATCAAATAAGTCCACTGCCAGACGGGACTTCAACGCCTTTGAAACAGCCCGGAGACTCGCTCTCAGATGTCCAGCGAAAAATAAATCTCGCGGATGAGCATTTGGATTTGGATTCCCCGCCTCTGGCTGATAAAATAAAAAATCAGAAACAGTCAGCCGGCTTGAATTCGGTGTTTAATAATGTAATTAATAATTTAACAGATAAACAGTCGTTTAATAATAAATTTGAGGACAATAATGTTGACTGTAATTTAATTACGGGACAAAATAACAGCAATGAATTATTAAGTAAAGTTAATTTATTGTCTTCAACTGTACTGACATCTTCTCAGTTGTTGATGAGCGACTCAAAAATAAGCTTAGACTTTTCAAATATCACCGAGAAATTAAAGAGCAATGAGTTTATTAAAAATAATAAAAATTCAACTCTGATTGAATTCGATAGCGATGAAGATTCACGTAAAAGTGTATCACGTGACATACAAAAATTATTGAACGCGGAACAATCAAATTTTGATGGTGAGGACGAGGACAATCAAGTTGATAAAAATTTATCTCGAGATACTTTAAATAAAAGTGAGGACGTGACTGAAAAGTGGAAGAGGGTGGAAAATAAAGAAGAAATAGAGAAAGAAATGGATAAGGAAGAGGAAAGAGAAAAGGAGTTGGAAATTGAAATAAGTAAAAATATTGTTGATGATACTGTTAAAGATATCAGTTTGGATTTGAATATTAAACTGTCAAAATCGCGGACGAAGAAAAGTCGGAGCAATAAAAAAAAGAAATTCACAGAAGGCAGCAATAACAGTAGCAGCGGTAGCGAGTATGACACCGATAAAAAAGATATTGCAGGACAAAATAAAAGTAAAATAGTAAAAAGTGTCTTCGGTAGGGCGTTTACTGCCAGTGAGAAGGCCGACAAAGTTAAAGAAGTTCTTGATGACTGGGTTTCCAAGTCAGACAGCGACTCCCACGATGACCAGAGCAACTGGCGCAACTGGAAGTCTGATAGTAAGAAAAGTCGGACAGATAAATCTGCCGGAAAGATTAAAAATGGGCCGAGTAAAAAGATTGATCCGTCGGTTCCGGCGGCTGTTGCCGGGTTGGAAGGCAAATCCACGTCGTCATTAGCCTCTGATCTTCCCCAGAATGAGTTTTCGAATTCTAGGTGTCGGCAGAGCAAGAAACGGGCTGAAGAACGGATCTCCAGGGCGTTCGAGGAAGAATCAATACCTTATGAATTGGCGTATGAAATTAGCAAGCAGGCCAATAATTCCTGCAAAACTTTAAAAGACAAAGAAAGGGAGAAGGATAATAAAGATTGTAAAAATGTTTATGACTTTGTTGACGAGTCAATAAAGTCTCCCGATAAATTAAATCTTAAACTAAATTTAAATCTAAGTATTAATAATAAGAGTAAAGACGAGTTGTTTACAAATAAATTATTAAATGTCGATAAAGTTGGTGATAAAAGTGATGATTTAACGTCGATAAATAATGAAGGTAGCTTAAAGGATTTAAATAATGACAATATTATAAATAAACCTGATGAATTTTTGTTCCACGATACTAATTCATTGGAATCGATTCATACGCGAGTACCGAGTTGCCCGCGCGAGCGTTCTTCCACCCCAGATATGGTGTCACTCACAACACGTGACTCGGAAAATGATATTGAAGCCCCTACTGATAATGATAATGATAATTATAATTATAATTATAATGATAATGATAATAATGACAATGATGATGATAATAACGAAGAAGAAGAAGAAGAAGAAAATATTGTCTGTGGCCGTCTGTCACCTTCTTACGCGAGTAATTTGCCCGATAGCTCCCAAGACAGCGCAACAACAAATAGCAATGATGATAAAAGTGTTAAAGACAATGAAGATGAAGATAACGACAATTACAATGATAATGATAATGAAAACGATGATGAGGAAAGTATTAAAATAAACAGACGGTGTTCAAGCGAGTTTTCTGGGGAGAAAATAATAATTCGGTCAACCTCCAATGAGGAAAGTAGATCGGGTGTGGTCACTATTGCACCAACCGACGCTATTGAAGACAACGCGCTGGATGTTCCACCTCTGGAGACTCAGGAACTCGGTGAAAAATCCTCCAGAGAGGGAAAAGTCCTGAATTTTGATGAGGAATTATTTGTCGAATGCTGCTCGAGATTGAAAGCCACCACGGAAAATGAGCTGAGAGGCGCCAAAAAAATTAAATTAGACCACACGGACAATTACGGCAGGGATGAACACCGGGATAGTAGAAACCGCGCGCCTTGGAAAGATATTGAGAGCCAGAATAGTCTGGGTAGTCTTCTCGAGTCTGTTAACCAGGTTTGTAATTATTTTTTAATGTTGTTATCTTTTAGTTATTGTTTATTGTTATTATTGGTTATATTTTTCTTTTGCTTGTGTAGACACATGGTCATTTTTGCACGTAAACTTGAGCATCTGAATATCGATCTCTTCTCATTTATATAATTATTTTGTAATGCTTGTTAAATTAATCATAGTATCATAATGAATGCAATTAGGAAATAGGTGCATGGGTATAACGCTTTTATTCTGGTATCATGTGATATGAGGGCGTAACTTATTTTATTAACATATCTATTTTTATTTAAATTGCATATTACAATTGTTGGTACTATTATTTGCATTTTATTGAAAAATTAGTGTTAATTTATGTTTTTACACTTTGGGTTAGTATAAATTTGTGTTTATATTAAGTATTTAGTGATTGTAATTACATTACAGTGAAAATTTTTACAGGAACAATGACCAGCTTTAATACTGACATATCTCTCAGTATGCATGCAGAAGGTAGTTAAATTCCGTTAAAAAATAGAAAAACATTTTTTTTATACATTCACAAGTTTATTATTTATTTTATATTATTTAAATTTTACTTTTGAGTTTTATACAATTTTAGTTTTGTAAATAATTTTTTGTCTAAGAAGTTCCGGAAAGTTTTATGAAAACGTCGTTCTAACTTTGAGATTTTAAATTACATACTAAATTACTAATGAGCAATTACATTTCATACTTTACGTATAGTAGTATTGTACCTAAGAGTAATAGTACTAAAGTAATGCTTTAATAATTCTAAATTGCTATTATATTCATAATGTAAGCTTGAGAATAATGTATTTTGATATTCATCAATTGTTTTAATTAATTTACGTAAGCTTAATTTTTTATAAATTTTTTTTTGTATTTCACTTATTGTTCTACTTTTTTTATAAATATATCTACTATTGGTAAAAGTTATTTTGTTGTGCAAATAAAATACTATTTTTAAAAGTTGAAAATAATTTACTGTCAAGTTTATTGGAAAAAAGCTTTTAAGGATTATGTCAAATGCTTATTTTAAGAAATATTGCCTTCAAAAGCCCTTTTATCAATAGTCTTGATCGTGAATTATTTTTAAATTTTAATAAGTTATATTAAATAACATATTCTCAGTAGCTTGTAGGTAAATTTAATATTTTAAAGTAAAAAAAATACTTCTTTTCCATAAAATGCATGTTATAAATTTTTATTTTCAATTAACAAATAGTAACTAATAAAATAGCACGCTTTATTATTTTGCTTATGAGATTCTAGTCTAGCTTTTAATTATGTAATTGCTTAGACGTTTCAATGAGATAAACAAAAAAGAAACTCATCTGTGAACTAGAATCTTTTCTTGAATTATTTTTTAATTATATCCACGTGAAATTACACAGTAATTATTTGAAACCATAGAGTTGAAGTTCCTCTGATTGAATAAATAATATTTATTTACTTACAGTTACTTGGTGAGGAGATGTACAATAATCGCACAAACGATTATCAAAAGCGTAGCAGAAGTTTGCGCAGCAGCGAGAGACTCAGCCCAGTCTCAGAAGTTCAAACAGACTTTATACGACCGGAAAATCTCAGTTATGAAGACAGCTTGGACGTTGCTTTTGAGCACAACAACAAACTGAGGGATAAAATACAGCAGCGAATGCGGGAAAGTGAAAACTTAATTGCCACTACTTTTTCTCACAAAAACGATTTTAGTTATAATAGTAATGATGATCGTCGACATCACCATCACCACCATCACCGCAATCATCACCATCGACACAATCATCATCGAAAAGATAAAAGTTACGACAATTCCAATAACTCTGAGTCTTTTATTGACGGAAACGATAATAGTAACGCTAAATCCATCACCGGAGAATCTTTGGCTATTAAAAATAAAATCGAATCTAATTTTGATGGCTTATTGGACAAAGCTTTTCATAAGTAAGTTTTATTTTTCTCTTTATTAGCTTAGGAGATAGCTTTTTTTTTTTCAATTATAAATAAATAGTTTTTTATTTTTACTTAATTATAATTTTATTTTTAAATAATTTTACTTGTTATTAACTTTCATAAAAAATTAATTTTCTTTAAAAATTCATTTTTAAAATAGCTATTATTATTATTATTATTATATGTAATAATAATAATAATAATATTGAATTGTATCAAATAAATGTAAAAAAAAATTTTTTTAATATTTTTAGTGGTTCGACTCCGATGAACGTATTGGCAGAATTAGCATGCGCACAAGTACCAACATCAACAATATCAGATGTTAAAGTAAACCGAGAGAAATTATCCAAGATAAAAAGTTTATCGCCGTCAAATGATAACGATTGGACAACTTTACAAAGTAATGATAAACTTGGAAAAGATCAACTAAAGAAAAGTCAAAGGAGCACAATTAAAGAACTTTTTGAACGGAAAAATGAACTTAATGAAAAGAAGCATCATCATCATTATCATCACCATCACCATCACCATCATCAAGAAAAATCGAGTCATTCTAATTTACAAGCCAACTCGTTTGGATTTAAACAGCATAATAAAACCAGAAAGATAAAACGTCTAGAGGACGAGTATCATCCATTAATTCGTAAAAGTCCCTTTGGTATCGGGATGCAAGAGCGCAAGAAACGACGCGGAGATAAAAAACGTGGCGATATACAGAACAAAGTTAAAGACATTTATGAGTTTGACGACGAGGAAAGTCAAACTGAGTCGAGTTTTAATTCAACTTTACCGCTTTACAGAAATAGAACTGAGAAAGAAAAACATCAAGAAATAAATTTCGTTAAAACTAAAGAGATTAACATCGGAGATCTGGTGTCCAAGACCGTCACCAAATCACTGGACGCTGACAAGCCATCTAGTTTCGATGAATTACTCGATAATATGGTTAATATAAAGGAAAACAAGTATAAAGAAATAGAATCGTCTATTCTCAAAACAAAGGGTGCTTTGAAATCGTTTAATCTCGAAGAAAAACAACAGCAGAAGCAACAGCAATCTGTCACCGGGCCTATGGACAACTTCGTGGAACGTAAGCGATCAAAACGAACTAGTGAGTCAACAGCGAAACACAAGTCAAAAAAACGAAGTAAAAATTCAAAGAAACGATCACGTAATGCCTGGTATGAGGATGACAGCTCTGATGAATTCGTGACCGCGATAAAAACTGCCGATATTGGGGTTGGAATATCTAAAAGCCAAAGAACGTGCTCTAAAGGCAAGCAAAATTTGTTCGCCGAGATGTCTACTTCCTCAGACAGTGAGTTCGAGGGCAAAGATGCCCTCAAAACTCTGTTCCAAAATGAGCTGCCGGATGGACGAGCTTCTCCCAAGCCTGACGAGGAGTTTAACAAGTCTAATGAAGAAGCTGAGGGTGATTGGATTAATGCCGGAAACTCACCGGCAGAGAGCAGACATGAGTTTGATAGCAAAAAGAATGTTTCTGAGTCAGATATGTCCGATCGCCCGCTGATTATCGATGAGCGGAAGGAAAGCGAACACGATGATATCAGTGTTAATGGCAATGATGTTGATGAGGTTAATATACATAATCATAATGATAATGATGATGATGATGATGATGATGATGATGATGATGATGGTGATGAAACAGACAATCGGTCAGAGCCAGCTTTTGAATTAGATGATTTATACCGTGAAGATAGTTCCGTTATCGCTTCTGATTCAGATGATAATGACAATGACAACAAAGATGATAAAAATGGTAACATTGAAAAAAATGATTTTAATGATGATAATGAAAAAGAAAAAGATGAATTGATTCCGTTAGAAACAGCTCTTGACTTATTAGACAGTGATAATGTTGAAAAAATTTTCAATGAATCTATTGTACGGTCAAGATCTAGATCAGTTTCTCCAGATGATAAAGTAAATGATGAAGAAATAGAAAGCAAATTATCCAATATCAATGATGAGTGTAATATTGATGATGACAATGATCATGTTAAGGATGATGATGATGATGATGATGATGATGATGACGATGATGAAGATGATAATGATGTCGGAGATGACTTACCAGAAAAATTAAGAACTAATGAAAAGCCAGCAGAAAAAGCGTCGGACAATTTGCCGCTGCACGTGTTTCTAAGCAGAAAAGTCCAGGAATCAAAGAAACGTAAAGAAGAGCAGTTAAAGAGATTAAAAAAGCAAGAAGAGGAAGAAGAGGAGAATGAGGAGAATGAGCGTGGGGGCTTGCCGATCAATATGGAATTCCAATCAACGCGGAGACAAAGAAAGTGTGCTATTGGTAAACAAGGTTTGTTGGCTGAAATAAGTAGCTCTGACGAAGAATACTATTTCAAGGAGGCGGGGAAGCGCGGTACCGGTGATAAAATAGATAACACCGGGTGTGATAAATCCAGGCGACAGAAGCGCGAGTCCAAGGAGAAGAAAAAGGAGCGGTACATTGAGAAGAAACATGAGCAGATGATTGCCAAAGAACAGAAAGCTATTGAGGAGGAAATTTTACGTGAGCTTGAATTAAAACGAGACGCTAATAATAAGGAGGTGGATATTGATAATGGTAATGGTGATGTCGATGTTGACGCTAGTGGCAATAATGGTAAGGACAGCGGGAAGAAAAACTCAGCTAAGGAGGTTGTTAGTGAGAGTGAGAGTACCAAGAAAAAGCATCGGACGAGCAAAAAGAATTCTGGTGATTTAAAAGTTAGTAAAGATAAATTCAATAGTGATACAGAAAATAAATGTGAGAAGACGATTGATAAGAAAAGTAAGAGTAATTTTAGTGCTGGTAAAAAAGAATCGATTAGTAAAACTTCTAATTCAAATTCAAATTCATCTTCCATTAATGTAAATAGTAATAACGTTAATAATAGTAATATTAATGTTAATAATGGCAGAAAATCAGCCGTTAGAACAAGCAAAAAATCAGGTAATAAGAAAACTACTAAAACTCACGACTCTTCGCGGACCAACGGCAGTGGAACCGACGACGAAGAACTGAGAACAACCAAGTCCTGGAACAAAGTTGAGGAAGGGGTAGGTGTCGCTATTGGTAGAAGAAAAAGGGCTGCTGCAAATCAATTGTACTACTGGTCCAGCTCCAGCGACGATGATGAAGAGTTTATCCAGCCCTCGAAAACCGTCGAGGAAGAAGACGACCGGCAGGAACAGCACGGTTGGATCGTGGGAGATTCTCACAAGAAAATGATAACTATGCTGGCTATGGAGAAGAAGCTTAAAGAAAAACGACGCAGGAGCGAGGACGACTGCAATGGAAAAAACAAAACTAAAAAGCACAGAAACAGCACGTCTTGATACGTGTTTCATGATTAAGTTAAAAGTTAATTTACATTTTTATTCGGTAGCTGGTCGGCGTATTTTATTAAATCGGTAGATTAGTACTGATAAATCATTTCGATTATGTACAGCGATTTATTATTGATTAACGATTAATAAATAATGATTAATAATGTAATTAGGATAAATTTGAGACTGGTTATTAAAAATATTCAGCAAGTATAATCTTACACTAAACTGCCAGGGAACGCTTATATAACTTTAAATAAATAAAGAAACAATTGTATACTCATGACCGAGATTCGCTCGTGCTTAATGTTGGGATTTTGATGAAAAATAATTTTTTATTCAATTGTTTCCTTGGGTTTTAATAATAGTTATTAATAATTATAACAAATTTATGATAATTGTAAGCTTGAGCTAATTGATAAGTTTATAATTGTATTAGTTGATAAGTAGCATGAGTGTATCAATTATTAATTATAAACATTGTTTGGAAATTAATAGTTGATAATGAAAATTTATTATTAGACAATATCGATAACTTAATTATTATGATTTTTTATTTAATTATAGAGTAGTTATTTAAATTATTTTAATGGACAATGCATACAAATATAAGTGGGTCCAATTAGTATTTTGTTATTGGTTTATTTTGTGATTTAAATTAACGGAGATTGTTCATTTTTTTAAATTAATACATTGAATTAAAATTAGTGTTACGGTTGGATATTTAATTGATAATAAAAATTCGCTTGAGTGTCAAATTGTTTAAGATTTTGTTTTTTTTTTTTTTTTTTATGATTTAGGATCTCATTGTAATAATTTTTGTAATTCATAAGATAGCTTATTATTATTAAAAGCTTATGATAAATCTCGACGAAAGTCATACTTGTTTTTTCTGTAAAGTTATAATTCAATTATTTATTAAAATATAAATTTAACAAATGCACTTATAAATAAATAAATATATGAAGATAAATATATAATTAACAATAAATGTTGATGTAGAAGATTAATTTATCACGTGTACGTGTTTAAATAAAATTCTATTGTAAATTTACTGCCATAATCACATTTACGTCGAGAGCCTACAAAAGTTATTAATATAATATGATGATTATTATTATTATTATTATTATATTAATATCAATGATAATGATTATAATAATGAATGTAAAAATAAGTAAGTTGGATAAAACCTTAAAAATAAGTAGACAATACATTGATACCACAATGGTTAAATTTATGATTATTTGTCTGTAAAGTTGAAAAAGGTTGGCACAAAATATTATTAATAACAATAATAATTAATAAGTATAAACAGTATGAACATTCAATGTAAATATAATGTATTTTGAATGTGTCAGGAAAAAGTATGTTTTGTAATATAAGCATTGTGAAAAAAAATAAATATTAATAAGAATATATAAAAAAAAAAAAATTGTTTATTTACACCTTCAATATTGTTGAATAATTATGTTACTAATAATAGAAACATCTAAGTAATAATTTTATGACACTGGAATCAGCTGACGAATATTTTTTAATTTTATTTAACAAATAAATTCGTAATAGAAAATCCCACAAAAAACAGTTTCATTGTAAACCGTCGCGCCAAGTACACGTCCAACTATTGTTACAAACCTTGATAATTCAATTTTTACAAAAAATTATTAAATCGAAAAAAAAAAATCCAAGTACAAAAAATTTTGTAGATTAAAAAAAACG